GCCCGACTCGCCAAAATTGAAAGCGTTATTTCAAAGTTTGATGAAATTGACGACTTAAAGCCGAAAGTAGAGAAGCTTGAAGAAGATGTCGGCGGCATGAAGCAGTCGGTGAATATAACGCTGAATGAAACGAGAAAACTTTTTCAAGAATGTAATGTGGAGCTGAAAACAAGAGTGGAACGCTTGGAAAGATATTCCAGAGACTTTAATATCCATGTGATAGGTGTAGTTGTTGAACAGGATGGTGAAGACTGTTGATCAATTATACGAGAATATTTCACTCTTCTCGGCTTCGAAGATGGCGTTGGCGAAATTGAGAACGCCTACCGTACTGGAAGAAAACGCGAGGAAAAACCTAGGAATATTATTGTCAAACTCTATAGCAGACCTTTCAAGCGAGACCCCGACCCTTATGACTTCGAAATCCGGAAAAAAAGCACTTCCGATCGTGAAAGAGGCGTTCGACCAAGGCAGGAAAGTCCGATTTACAAAAGGGAAGCTATTCATAGACGGTAAGGCTGTACCTGTAGAATAACTTTTATTAGTTGCTCATTTCGGAGCACAACATTGGCCGTGTTCTTTGCGGTAATCACAAAGCGACGAATTCGCTTGTGTTCAGACGGCTTGTGCAAGGCACAAGCGCGAACTTTGTAAATATTAGAAAATTTTTGTCATTGTATCTTCTAATGTTCACTTTAGTTTTAAGATTAATTTCGTGTGTACTAATTTGTTTGACCTTTCTTCTTAATAAAAGCGTTAACCATATGTCTACAATAATTAATGCATCTTTAGTTCATGCCTACAAAATTTATTCTAGCTCCGTCTCCCCTGGTAGTTTCAGGTTTGTTGCCTTTGTTTCGTTCTTTTTTATATTTACAAATGGTAGTGGGTAAATTTATTTCCTTAAATTTAAGAGGCATCAGCAACTTTCGTTAAAGAAGAACAATATTTACATGGTGTAGAAAGCAAAAAGCGGATGTAATTTTTCTTCAGGAAACACACAGTCCACGAAAGATAATGAGTTATTGTGGAAAGGGGAATGGGGCGTCCCCTTCTTTTGTTCACATGGGGCTAATAACTCTCGTGGGGTTGCAATTAATTTTAATACGGAATAACTTTGATTGCTCCGTTGAAGAAATAGTCACATGTACAGACGC